CCGGGCCTGATTGTGAGATGTAAAAGTATGAAAACCATTACTCAACCGCTACGAACAATTCTTTTAACAACTTTGGAGAATGACACTAAACTGATATGTGACTTTTGAGACACCATAAATGTCGTCTTATAAAAATATGATTTATTAGTTCCTTTAGAACTATTTTCAGTTTCATTTAAAAGATCGAATTTACAAATGTCCACAGTTCTTTGCGCTGTGTTAAATAGTTAATCGTATTTATTTTGTGTTTGTAAATGCATTGGTAACTGATATTAATTCGAACTTACTTGAATCCGAATATTTTGATGTTTACTAATTACTTTGGTAATACAGGCAAACAGTTTGTAAGGTGTGTTCGAAATGTAGGAAACTAAATCTAAAGTTATTATTTTTTTTAACTGTTAAACGCAAAGTGGAGTTTATTAAGATATACTTCTACTAAGGTAAATAAAATAACTACCTATATCTCCAGAATGTATCTTTATTAGCTAAGTGTTTCGCTGTTACAGCTTCGTCAGAAGCTATCAATCACCTACAAGTTCACTAATCCAGTGAATCTGATAGCTCCTGATGGCGGGTTCGAATCCCCGTCCCACCAAACATGCTCGCCCTTTCAGCGCTACAATGTGACGGTCAATCCCACTATTCGCTGGTAAAAGAGTAGCCCAAGAGTTGGCGGTGGGTGGGGATGACTAGCTGCCTTCCCTCTAGTCTTACACTGCTAAATTAGGGACGGCTAGCGCAGATAGCCTTCGTGTAGCTTTGCGCGAAATTCAAAAACAAACAAGCTCCTGATGAAGCTGCAATAGCAAAACATTGAGCTAATAAAGGTACATTCTATACATATAGGTCGTTATTTTATTTACCTTAATTGAAAAATCTGAAGTTAAAATGATTAAACGATCCATAGGAAAAGCTTCTTTACCATAAATAACAAGAATGTTTAGAATGAATATCTTTGTATACTTTCAGTTTATAGAATGAAAAATGTTTACATTTGCAGCTTAAACAATATCTTTGTATACTTTCAGTTTATAGAATGAAAAATGTTTACATTTGCAGCTTAAACAATATCTTTGTATACTTTCAGTTTATAGAATATAAATGTTTACATTTGCAACTTAAACAATATCTTTGTATATTTGAATTTAATGTTTTTGTACGTGTAGCTTAAAGAACAGAACATTTTTATATCACTTACAGTTTACAAAACCAGCATTTCTTGTTGTTCTAGATTAAATAATTGTGATGTTTGTACGTTTTGGCCTTATGATCCAGACTGTTTCTATATTTTCATTTTGCCATGAAGTAGTTTCTTATATCCCTTCTTTTTTACCATCACTCCCTCCGTTGTCAAGTGGAATATCTCGTTAGAACTTGTAAACGGTCTTGAAAATTATGTACCGAATTCCCTGAAATTAAAAATAATCAGACGTAGCTAACAAATGAAAAATGACAAGTTCTTTAAACCAAACAATTGAATATGTAACGTTATTATAAAAGCTAGGTATGTTTCAGTACTTACTAAAAGCCTCATTTTCATTTTGTTCTAATTAGTCAGTCGGAACGATGAATATGATGTTCTGTTTCTAGAATTAAAGTATATGTAGATTTGTTTGTTTGTTTGTAACTAAGCACAAAGCTACACAATGGGCTATCTGTGCTCTGCCCACCGTGGGTATCGAAACCCGGTTTCTAGCGTTGTAAGTATGTGTAGATTCTAAAATATTTTTATTACCAGAATATTTCTGGTATAGAAGATAACATTTTACGTATTATTTCCCAGGAGGTGTTAATACCAATACTTAATACAAAGCATGTGAAACACCAATACTTAATACAAAGCATGTGAAACACCAATACTTAATACAAAGCATGTGACTTGTTTCTAGTCGCCACTTTTGTTCCTAATAACTTTTCAACTTACCGAAATATACTTTAACAGTATTCATAGAATTACATCTCTAAATCAATATAAGTAGCAGGTCATTATTGAGTCGTCACTCAGCAATCAATTAAAGTGTAATTAATGGGGCTATACCTACTGAGGGGTTCAAGAAAACGCGCCCATGTCAAATATATTTCTGACCATACCGTCTTGATTTAACTGAATAGCATTTAAAATGTATGCCAAAATCTAGAAAGTACATTTAAGCATAATACAGAATGAAATATTACAAAATGTTGCCAGAGGTTTCAAGAATGCGTAAAAATAACGACCGTGTTCGTGTGTGTATATATTTGTGGTTACTAGAGAATTTGAATGCCTTGTATTAAGAAATTAATGTTTTGGGTGGTGGTGAATGAGATCACTGGTGTAAATATGTTTTACGTTTTGTTGTTTGTTTCAGTCTTTCGTTTATGTTCCGAAGTTTGGAAGCTGGTCAGGGTTTAAATCCATTGTCAAGACCACGAGGTCAAAACTCTTTAATCAGATGGTCTTCCAGTCAACAGTTAAAATAATCTTTACAAGAACAACTTACCTTGTCAATAAATGATTGAGTGGCTCTGTTAAAAACCTGAGTTCAAGATCGCTATCGTGTTTATCATGCCTTAATTATTTTTCTTTTTTGTATGGCGCAATTCGTAGTGCCAATGGTACTTAATATATAACATCAAGAAATAGGAGCCAAGAAAGTTATTTATAGAGAAAGTTAACTTGTGACAAGCAGTGACACTTAAATGAAGAATGAGCAAAAAAAAAAAATACTTTCATTTCCGAAAAGGACAAGCTTGAGTAAATCTTAAGCAAATAAAGATGTTTCCAAAATCATTACATAAAGTAATATCTGTATTGGGTATTCAAGGGAATTACCATATGCTCGAAGTAATAAGTGTGTTACCCTATATCGTTACATCCTGTATGGAACGCCTGTACGTGTACATGATATTCAGCTCATAACACAAAAAAGGATAAATATTTATAAAGAATAGAACAGACCAAAATCACCGGAAGTCTTGGAGTAGAAAAATTAGACGATATACTAGGGTTCGCCATTACCCTTTATCTTCTTTGCTGTACAGTAAGTTCAAAAGGAAGCGAGGTGGAGGTAAAGAAGTCGATCCTTTGATTTTAGGCGAAGTGTTTTCTTTTTATCATTGATGATAGGCTCCAACGGATATCCTACCACTGAGTGATAATAATTCGGTACTTTAACGGAAATGAAACCTAAACAGCCTTTTGTTCCCTTAACTTTGTCGAACGTGACACCTTTTTTGTGTATATATATATATCTACAACTAAAGTTAAACACCAGAGGCGGAGGAAGTGAAACATGGGCCTGTGTGTGAAAAGAAACGTGGGCCTCTGCGCCCTCACCCCTTCTCAGATTTTAATGAATAACATTTATACACGTTTATAAACAAACCAATTCAACATTTTAAAACTTAATAACATTTAGCTATCGAAATACTAGCACGTGTGAAACAGTAGGACAACGTATAGTTATTCGCATTAAAAAGTATTCTACTCACCTATTTCAATCGCATTTTCCACGCCTTTCGTTCTTTGAAGTCATCAATTATCTGAACGTTTAATATTTGTCACTATTACTGGGATGGTGAGAAAAAGCAGAAGTATGGTATAAACTTCTAGAAAACTGGACTCCAAAGCACTGTTGTTAACGGTTAAAACTTTTGCGAAATCTTTCGCTGATGATTTGTTTTATACATCTGATTCTAAACATGGTCTAGATGAAAGCAGCTGTCCAGAAAAAAAAAGTGTCTTTGCTGAAATTATTGGTACGTTTTCCAGTTTCTTCATACATATCATCATCACTTGCAGTAAAAAGCGTATTTGGCTCGATTACTCTGAATTTATATGAGACTGCCTTAAGGTTTGAAATCGATTAAAAAGCTGTGCAGTTGTTATATCTAGGCATCTGTAAAACAATTTCACCCTGAAAAAAATTTCTGAGTAGGCAAATCGTTCATTTTCACAAAACTCGTTAAAATGAAATTTTATTTTCTTCCTGCGCATTTCTTCAAACTTTGTTTGTCCTCTCCATTTTCGATAATTTAATCGATGCATTTTTAGCTTCTTGGAACTCGTGTCGGAACGTAACTAAATCTTCAGTGGCATTGCTTAGCAAAGTTGATGCTTTTTAGAGGTCTCAGTTTGGAGCACAAAAAAAACAACAATAAAACTAAATTTACGTAATGTTAAAGCCTCAATGCGCTTACCTTTTTTTTTGGTTTTTTGCTCAAAGGGGCTGTTTTTTTTAATGCCTTCATGGTGTCGAAATCTCAGAGGAATAATAGATTTATACCATGATGACCATAGGGCTGGACGAAACCTTTTCAAAGTAATTTTGGTGGGACTGGATATTTGTGAAATAAACACAAATGAAGATAGCACAGCCCAATTTTAATGCTGTGGCTGAAATGTTTTCATTTACGTGATAAAAATGCATCACTGTTGACATTTCTCTAACCGAATCATTCAGTGCAACATTTAGCTTATAAGCAGTAAGTAAAGTGTGAATATGCAACATTTGGTTCCTTTTTTGATATTCTTACTTGCACACCAGAGTACACACCACTCATATTAGCGGCCTCCTCATAACCCTACCCACGACTCTTCTGTTCAATAAGGTCAATAATTGTATTTCAAGTCCACTGGCAGAGTGGTCAAAAAACTTCCACAAAAGACTCGTTAATTTTCACTTCAATTGCAACATTCCTTTCTTCTCTTTCAGGGGCAGAGTACAGATAGCCCATTGTGTAGCTTTGTGGTTAACTTCAAATAACAAATAACATTTCTTTCAGGTGTTACGAATCGGAAAAATCTGCCTCAGCTAGTTAAGTCTTGGAAATATCTTGGGTGGTATCCATCATTACAGAGAAAAAAGGCATAGCCTTAAGTTCGTCTTATTCCCCTCAATACGTTTCGGCAAAACGTTAATGAGTTCATCCTGTTACTAAGATACCGAATCGAACCACTGTGCCGAGAAATGAGTTGTTTCTAGACTGGGTCATAGTTTGTTAACAATTTTACTATGTAGAGAAAATACTTACTAATAGCATTTCCTAAAACCTTTCAGTGCCCCTTGAGAGCATTAATGAAAGGCACCAAAACTTTTCTCCAGAAGTTTCTCTTTTTTGGTATGCGAGTTTCTAAACCTTCATCAACTGTTTCATGTAACCACCATTGCTCTTACACTACCAAGAATATAGGTGTGTTTTTGATGTTTCCTGAAATTCAATTTTTTGTTGTTAGATGACGTTAGTTTCCATCTATTTTATCCATGTCATATTATATATAGCTGCACTACGATCAACAAACATCTAGCAGGTTTCTCAATATGTATAGTCTAATTTAGAAGAGTAATAAGGCCAACTACACGGCTGTTTAAACCTGTCTGTGTTGTAGTGTCATAATATTTTGTGGAGAAACAATGGCTGTCTTGATTTATGTCTCGTGGAAATGGTCCATTAGGCTTACATGAACCATGAGATATTATATATCGTTTTGCTTGGCTTTTGTCTGTAGGGTGTTTGTCATCAACTGGGAGAACAGCAGGTTCATCAGTTATTTTGTCAAGTTCTTTTCCTCCTATACGCCTCTAATGCTTCCTTCTTATGGTGTTTTAGCGAAGTTTTTTAAGCGTTGTTTGTCTCTGGTGGTATACTGATACTAGGCCCAATGTCTTGCTCTGTATATACCCATTGTTGCGGCTGAAAATTGTGTCGCAAGACATTGGGCCTAGTATCAGTAGAATTGCTGTTGGCTGTAAAATTCCTAAAATCAGCGTTGATTTTTTAGAAATGTGACTGAGCCCATTGTTGCGGCTGAAAATTGTGTCGCTCAGTCACATTTCTAAAAAATCAACGCTGATTTTAGGAATTTTACAGCCAACAGCAATTCTTTCTTTTTACAGTTTACGCTTTTCTACTACACTTTTATGTTTTGGAAGCATACTAATATTATAAATTACACTTTTGTAAATCATAAGATAAAGCAGATGGAATTTTCGCGCAAAACCACAATCAGGAATTCATTTTCACTCGCTCTTATCTATGATGTGCAGTTGACGTCGAACCTGTGAAGTATTTTAATTATGAATTAAGTCCTGAAAGTGTTAGATCGCTTTGACATTTCGCCAAAACCGTTAATAGTTTCCTCGGTCAAATATGCTAGAAATGCAATAATCTGATCCGACTAAGTAATCATAAAACAAAAAAGTAAGGCCTCATGGAATGAATGAATGCATGAATAAATAAATATATTATAAGCTAAGTGGCCCTGAAAATGAATATATTGAGTACATAATAATTTAAACTTTCGAGCCTACCAGGGCCTCCTAAATGCGTGGGCCCCCATGTGTGGCTACACCAGCTGCACCGGTTATCCCTCCACTACTGTCAAACACGAAAGAGGTATCTCTAGAGAGCGTCATTTCATGACATTTTCAGTACATTATAAAAAGAAAGAGCGTGAGGAATTTCAAAAAGTACTTCGATGTTCTTGAAAACAAACTAAACTAAAAACTATGATTGATTGTCCATGGACACTAGTGTTTAGACGAATAACAAAATTAAAAACTAGCATAGAACAACAAATGATTTTCGTTTGTTCGTTTTTTGGCACAATACTGTACTTTGAGCTATCTGCACTCTGCTGTCTTCCGCAGGGAACCAAAGCCCAGATTTTAGTGTTTTAAGTCTGTAAACTTACCACTGACTCAACGAGGGACGACGACAATGAATATCGCTATCAGCAACAAAATCTACTTAACATAAACTTCAGCAACTTTTTATAGTCAAGTATTTCGAAAAAAAAACAATAATTGGCTTCAAAACTTCTGCTCTCATTACAAACTTTAATGGGTGGGAAAATAATATAAAAAATGCACAACGGCAGAAAATTATTCATACCAATGGTAGGCTTGAGGGAACGGAAGCAGGTTTACACTGGAAGATATTGGTTGGAATTGTGAGAAGAACACCTGCTTTGACTAGCTTTGTCACAGAATGTTGTATTGCCTTCTCTAAACTCAGCCGTGTAATCAATTTTTCATGTACGTGTTTTTTACTGCCTTGGCGAGTCTGTTAATGCCGTTGTTCCGATTTTTATCCAGGAGATGGGCAATCTTCACAGTAAATGAGGATATTTTTATAAGAAATCTTTAGCTTGGATGCACAAGAAAATCGCACATTATCTGTTTTCATCATTTTCTTTACATTATGAATTGTTTATACATACACAGTTGGCCCTGACAGACCCGGAGTTAGTTTCAACGTAAAAAAAAATAATACATAAATTACAGGATATGCCTGACAAAAGTAATGATCGTGATACTTTAAAATCAAATAGATTAAATGTAGTAAAAAAACCAACAACAATAGAGATAAAATGTTTGCGAACGCAGTAGAGTTGAAACCAGGTTTATCGGGTGACGAGTAACCATAATACACGATAAGTCATATATTATGCTAACCTATTTACGAGTGACTACAGATAAGCGAATCTATAAATTCTACAACATATCTCTCGTAATTCGCGGTTATTCAGCAAGTAAAAT